TATTTTGCAGAGAACTTTGGTACTCGGAAAGTACTCGACTAAAACACTGGCTTATGTGAAACAGGTGGTGAGTAGCAAGCATTCCCTGTGCTCTGGCTATGGAAATACCAGGCATGCCAGAGAGCAGTAATTGACCAGATGTTACAACCCAGGCAGTTCAAACTCCTTCTGTGTCCTTCCTCCATGCATATCCCTAGGGGCGGAGGAAAGGACAAATTGCCTGAAGTTTTGTTGTTAACTGGACCTTTTACTCTTTTTTTTGTGAGATAATCTACATGTATAACTTCTTTGTACTATACATGTATTTACAACTATTAATCTGGTTACATTAGTGAATGCTTGTAATGAATTGTATGATTGTGATAAATTGCTCAACATTTTGAATACTGCCTTAGAAATTATTCTAACTAAATATGTAGTTACGTACACATATTTGGCACTATAGTACATGCACACTGGTATGTACAGTGTACGTGCCATGTAAATAAGTTTGGTGAAGCCAACTATACCTACCTTTGGGAGTCTGAAGGGGAAAGTTGGTAAGAAATCGTAGCAGATCCATATACCAGTTTGGCATGTGACCATGGAAGAATAGGACTTCAAACAGCTTGAACAAGAGGAAACCATTGCAGATGACGGACACAGCATAGAAATGAGTGAACCACCTGAAAGATGAATGCAATGACCCACGAAATATCACTAGTCCCTCAACTTTCCCACGCCATGTTACCAAGCCTCATTGTCGAAAAACTTCAGATTCATTCATTTAAATACAGATAATATCATCTTCATTAGCCCCAGATGGAAGAGATCTTACACGGACACATTATTGCCAGTTCTCTCAGGCTCCACCACTGAGTTGAGAAAAATGGTGAAGGCCGAGAAAAAAAATGTTTCCCACGCGCGCGAAACGTTCACTTTTCTTTTGTGATTGGCCGCTCGTGCGCGTGCTACGCTAATGCCAAGACCATACTCCCTCCCCCTGGAGCTAAAGGGCGTTGTCTGGAGACAAGCACCAGAAAACTGTATTGTTGTTGTTAAACCTTTGTGAACAATTTCAGGGTCACAAAACTCAGTCCAAAATTTAAAAACGGTGGCGTTCAGGAATTGGGCATAATTTAAGCCGGGTATTTTCTAACACAGGGCATTTGAAGAAATCCCAGAAACTCCTATTATTGACATTTAAGAATTTCTTCAAACTTGATAAATTCTGGTAAATCATTATTACTGCTGCCCATATACCCTCACACTTCCTTTCCAATTTTTGGGTGTACGTAAATTAAGAGTTTTGTTCAACCATGGACATGACAGAGGAAGGAATAGCTTGAATCTTGCACAAATTTGTTTTACTCAATCTTAATTTTCCTTTCAATGAAACCCACTCACAGGATTATAATCAACTGGGGTACAATAAATTTGTAAAAATTGCGTTGAACAAGTTCATTTTACTCTTAAAAAAAAAAAAAAATTGGAAAATCAGGCCAAAACAAAATTTCCTTTGAACTTTGTCATGTTTGTAGTAGGTATGAAAACTCACATGACTCAAGATGTGAAATTTGAGGAAAAACATTGCTCTAGCAAGGTACTAGTGCCAAGGAGAAAAATCAGATATGCCAGAGTACGCCAAGTAAGGGGGCCGTGCTGTGTTAGGGTTCTTTAACAGGAAAATACACCAAAGTTGGTATGTACTGACTACAGTACTGGTAGCCTATATAGACAAATTAATGTCCTAAAACAGCAGGCTAAGCCCAAGGCCTACTTTAAAAATCATTTGGTTGAGCGGGGTAGCGAATTAGAACAAAATTAAGTTCTTACTGTAAAATGTATCACTGCGCGTCATGGAGGTGCACCGAGTGCTAGTATCGTATCAGGTATATAAGTCAGGATGTGGCAAGAATGTGCCATCTGCAGTCCAATAACAAACACTACTTCATCATAGCAACTTATTCTTGTTATTTGCAAGGCTTTTTCTGATGTTCTTTTCCCCAACAGGGTTTTCCCACTGAGTTTTTCCAACCTACAAATAATATGAAGTTGTGGTGCTGATGGAAATAGCCATTGTAGTTATGACAATTACTTATCACCCGCTTTTAATTTACATGTCATGAACCAATGTCTATACTCCGCTATACTTCAGTATTGGTATAGTATTAAAACATTAATGATTGCAAGTCTTCCACTTAGACTTAGTAATGCATCATGACATTACACTGTAATGTCTGGATTGCATAACGATATAGGCGTAAGGTCCTTTAACCTTGGTCACAGAGAGGAGCTTTTCATAATTCTGAATATCAATTAAACGAAAGAAGTAATGAATAAACGGGATTGGCATGCCTGTCGGTCGCCCTCCCAAAGTTGCAATCTATTAAAAGTCAAATAGGCTAGGCCTAAGTTAAGTGAAATGTCATGGACTCATTTACTGTTTAGGCAAATCGAGCAATTTGTCCAGCGAACTTCGCTTTCTTGTTTTTTCCTCCCGCAGGTTCCTCGCTTTACCGTAAGAGATGAGGTTCCACAACACACTGGGTATCTTAGGAAACTGCTGGATTATGAACATCGAACAAAATCCTCCTATGCAAAGCAGCCAAAAACACGCTAAAATGTTAAGGGGTAACATGATTCACCATTCCAAGTTACCATCTAGCCAATATCGTCTGCACTCGACTCGCTGCTGCAGAATGCGAAGTAACCCTGTCTCCCCGTATGTAAATGTAACCTTCCGTTCGTTGAGGACCAGTCTCCAGTGCGCCACCTCGCGGCGTGATCAGAATATGAGCTACAAGGGTGCACCACTAGAAATAAATTCCCATAGACAGCAGTGATAAATCCCCATACTTCACAAATATTTAAAAAATACAACTCTCACAGGGGGGTTGACGGATGCATTTTTGAGAAATTTTCACCAGAAGCAGACCACCCCTAAAATGCAGAAAATGTCCCTGTCCAGAAAAGTAGCCATTTAGAAAAACCATCCCTCTGCAAAATGGCTCAAATAGTGCAACTTTCGGACCCGATTGCATCCAAATTGCTCAGAATTGGAAGCCCTGAGTGCGGCCCAGAGGTTCAGTCTCATATTATTTTCTTCAATTCCCCAGTTCCATGGCTCTAAGGACCCTCTAATATAGAATATTTTGCATGTAAAACTTTTATTAATGAGCTCGGCGGACAGATTTCTGGCCTAAATACGAGGGTGCACTCACAAGTGGAGAATTGCCGGCCAGTCAGTTGAGTCGTGGTCGTGAAAATGTACCAGCTCAAAACCATTTTCCCCAAAACATACCTAGTCACGGACTCAAAAATGAAATTAAACAATACAAACAAAAGACTTGAAGTGAATTTGTCAAACGTTAGATCGCCTTCCCCAAAAAACACACAAGAAAACTAGGATGAAAACTATTCTTTTCAATACACAAATATGATGATCTGGTTTATTTTCCATTTTACCCATTTGTGGACAAAACTTAAGTCAAACAAACCCCGCTACAAATTATGAGGAATACTATTTCCAGAATTATCAATCAGATAAGTGGAAATCTGCTGTACTTATAAAGGTTATAAAGGGGCTTAATTATAAAAAAACCCAGCTAAGCCAGCATTTTAAATTATGTAAATAAAGAATGAATATTTAAAAAATTACTCTACAATGACCCCCCCATCAGATTACACATAAGTTTCAGTATGTAAAACACTGAAATGATTGATTTGTAAAGAATAATGTAACCACTTGAATTGAGGTAATGGAGAATAAATCCTGGTGGGTTAAAAAACTTAAATATTTGTTAACTTTTCTCTTCAAGTTAACATAAATATTAATACTTTCTACAAAATAATACAAGAGAAATACATCAAGAGAACTGAATAGGATGGTGGTAATGTTACTGTTGGGTTTAGTTAATCACTCATAGCACGAGCAAAACTGTCTTAAAGTCATCAGCTCACCTGAAAAATGTATTATAAATAATTTCACGCTTTGGCACTGATGTCAACAAAAATTATGGAAATAATCGTTTGATAGATAGAAGGAAAAATTCGCCAGAACAAACACATGACCCTAAACATTAAATGTCTCTCAAAGTGACGGATGAAAATGTTTTGCGATACATTATGCACAAATTACAAGCTACTAACAATGGAAGAAAGCTGAAACACATGGGCATCTGATGGTACATGCACAAAGGTAACATTACAAATAAATGATGACTTCAGACTATCACCGTTTCATAAATGTGAAGTTTTTAGGAAAAAATACTTGAAAGGTACTTGGCCAAGTATTTAAAGAGTACTTTTCTCCTTGAAACCTAAATATTACAAAACTAAAAGTGTCTGAAGTCTTATATTTAGTTTGTAATCTTACTTTTGTGCAGTTACCGTCAAATGTCTAGGTATTCCAGCTTTATTCCCTCTAACCCAGTTCTGTATTTGGCAGAGAACCTCGGCACTAGAAAAGCACCAGATTATAACACTGAGAGAAAAGCAAAACTACTTGATTGGAGACAATAACATGGGGTTGGGGGTGTCAACAGCGACCCATTTCATTCAAAATAAATAAAGAGAATTTTTAAAAAATTTTCATCTCCCAAACTTCCAAATGTACGTATAAAGCCCCAAATAAACCCTCACCCATCAAAAAGGCCATTTAAAGTCAAATAAAGAAATCTCCAAAAAAGTTGCACCCCCCCCAATTTTAGTTCTGGATTCGCCCTTCACTAGAAACAAATTACATCTCAACAAGAACAGAAACTAGCCTTTGAAGGAAGACAAAAACAAAGTATCTGTAGAGTTTCTTAGGTCAGAGATTTCACACTTTGAGAGACATTTAATAATTGAAAAGTCTGTTTCAATCACCTAGTGAAAGTGTGAAATAAAAAGAGCCAATTTATCACATTTGGCAACTTCACTCTCCAACTGGGTCTATTTCAACTTGATACAAGTCATCTTGTGTAGTTATTTTTTGTTTAATTTTATATGTACAGAACAATGATCTAACTAAAGCATGCTTTGGTAAGCAAGTTTTCTGAAACACCGCCTCACATTACTAAAGTCATTTGAGAGAAAGCACAAAGTAAATCAAGTTAAAAAAGGCCTAATTTTCCTTCCTATTCGTTTCTACATTCAAATGTGGTCTAAGCGAAACAGTTTTCCAGAATTACTAAATGTACACTTCAATTGGTCCAAGTGGTCATCATTTTCACCTGAGAATATCATGGTTGACAACTGCACCAATCATAGGTTAGAACTTGGGCCCGGTTTCATGGCTCTGCTTACCGTCAGCAGAAACAAAAATTGCTGCTTAATATAGCACACAATTCTATGCTTACGGTAAGAGCAGAATTTTTGTGCTCGTGCTGCAAGCATGGAATGTTGTCAGTGCAGAATTCTATGGCTAGCAGAGCTATAAAACTGGGCCTTGGCAAAATAATTATTTGGTTCAAGAACGAATCAAATTTCTACTTTATTTCAAAATGAGTTGCAGAAGAGCAGTTTGACAGACTAGCTTATAACAGTGCATAGTAGCAGTGCAAATATTAAAAACGAAACAAACCCCCCCAAAAATCATCTCTCTCTGAATTAAAATGAACTATCACTTTTGCACAACTTCCTATGTTTGCTTCATCATGTCTTAGACACTGCACTTTCATTGGCACAAAGCAACGGTAGATTAACACACGGACCTATCAACCACAAAAATACCGACCACATTTTGTCAAGATGGTGTAAACAGCAATGGGAGGGGAGGAGGGGAGAGAATCGTTGACCTTCCTTTTTAATATATTTCTTAACCCGTGAACACTGTAACATTTCTTGTACCCAAGACCATCCACAACCTTAATGAGGTCCTTGTCCTAAGTGATCATGTGACGAGTTGTAGAGTAGTGAGAGGACCCAGTGACTAAAGGCTTAAATTGTCTTGTACATTAATTGTGTCTCGCGTACGCAACAGTGTAGGTTAACAGTGTCAGCAATTTTCATACTAGACCTGGGAGCAGCAAAACCTCACTCCCAAAGCTTTAACTTTCAAAAGCCTGGTCTCTTGCAGAATTCATCAGATGTGAAAGCTGGCATTTTCTTCCAAAGTTGAAAGCTCCTACAAATCCAGGCCATGGCCAAAAGAAACCAACAGCTGACTTGTAGGATGGGTTGGGGGATAGGACACTAATAACTGAGGGACGCATGACCTCTGAGATGTGGCTGAGGTTGCTACACATGTCATGGCCTAAGGATGTCATGGCCCAATGATTGTCATTGATTGTCAGCTGTGATTTCTGTCGATGTCTAAGATCAGCCTGGACTTCTACATACATGTAATTATGGTCTGGTCAACAGATCTGGGACAATATTCATTGCATTGATCGATTAAAAGTTGGTAGCTATTAAGCAAAGCACATCTTATAAAATGTTCTAAGTACACACAATACTGTACATTTTGGCAAGTGACAGCGTGGCACCAGTACCAAGAACAAATGATGATTTTTTATGGCTCTACTTAGCTGTTTTACACATCTGTACACAACATTCTAACAAACAACAAAACACTACCTCGACCACACAAATGGCTTGAGACACAGGTAAACAGACCTGAATCTTTGAGGAAAATGCACAGATATTCTCGCATGAGGCATCAAAGACATCGCTGTGGCCACACTCCCTAGATACTGTACTCATCTCTCCAATTCAACAACTTTGACACAAGTATACTGATTGTGCAACCAAATTGCACAACTGATGTGATTGTCAGGTGGAGGAACTTTACAACTGAAGGAATGTTTGAGTACAGAAGTTCATTCGGCCAATGCAAAGTCGTCAATTTCAAGGCCAACTGGAAGACTTCTAAGTTTTGAACACTTAGTGGCCTCTAAGTCATCGAGCAAACTATTGATCTCACCTTTTTCTAAATTACCACATGTGACCAGATCTGGTGCAATCGGTCAAATGGCCCTTCTTTTTGCATTAATTTTGTTTCAGTTGATTTAGAAAGAACAAACTGAGTACTTGGGTTTGATGTTTCACCGTGTTTGGAATTCAGATGACAACAGGACAGTACCTGGGAGAAAAGCGTTCAAGGATGCTATTGGTTCTTCTCAAGGTCCATTAAATAAAAAAAAAAAAAGGCTCAGGTGACTTGCGATCCAAATTTGTGAGGTTGGGTGACAATTACAATTCTGTCTTGCTACCCTACAGGCAACTCTGCACAGGTAGAGAAATTGCATCAAATATAAAAGCACACGGATTACTGCAATTTTTTTTCTAGCTCATGGCGCATTGTTAGTTTCTTTCCCCAACTGTCTTCCGTTCTTTAGTAAAGACAAGGAAAGTTTCCCCTTATTTCCGGAGAGTATTCAACCAACTTCAAAATGCACGCTCACTCTTTTTTTTTTTTGTCAAGTGGGTTTCACTAAATGGTGTCTAAAATTTATACAAAAATATGAATATCTCACATTGACATTTTACAAACCAATATTTAGCACCTCTCCAGCATAGTCAAAAACAGAAGGCAGACAGACTTCTTTTGTCAAATGACAGCATGAAGGGGTTGTTGGACAAAGGGAATTCAAATGCTTCTTTGGTATTTTTGGAATTTGAATTTCGGTAGATTCACATCGGTAGAAATTTCGGTTAATTGTAATTTAAAGCAACAATTTCAGCTTTGCATAACTAGAGAAAATGTAATGGTAGCATCAAGGATACGCAACAATTGGTAATGGGACAATAGTTTGTCAAGAATGTTTCTCATTTGAAAATCCTAAATCAGAGAAAGCTTTGAAAAATCAGTTTTTTTACCCAAACCACAAATGTATGTGTGTGATGTGACAAAATGACGAATAATGAACTTACTTTGAGGTAATCTGTGTATTCAATCTGATATTTTCTGGAACATGTTTAATCCTCTAATCTCACAATTAAATAAGCATCTTTTGGCAAACAATTTATCCTCTATTCTCACCATTAAATAAAAATTTCATAAAACATAGGAAAAGAATTCGATAACTACAGGCAATAATAAGAGATTGTAAATACAATCCATGTTATTTTCTTCATTCTTTACACTGCACGACTTGAACATGAAAACTCCAAACACAAAACGCTATGAAAGCAACACTGTTAAATCCCACAGATCACTTATTTCAGAACATTTTTACAGGTGGCACTAAATACGCACAAGGGGAAAAGTGGTGAACCTTTTTGAAACCTGATTGTCTCCTACAGCCACTGACTGAAACTTGAAGGAAAAAAAAAAAACCTGTCGGAAATTGGGACCCCATGTCTGGGCAATGACTGGGCTCAGTCTTACACGGTTGTAGGAACGGTGGGCTTGTCTTTGTACTCAAGTGACTCATTTTCCGTCTGTAGGTTCATTAGCTCCAGGTAGTCCTTCTTACCTGGGAGTAGCTGGTACCCAGCAATGATGCGGTCCTCATTGTTGGCCGGTCCCCAGTCCTTGGTGGGCTTCATCGACTTCTTGATGCGCTTTGAATAGTTGCAATGACACCATTTGTTAAAATCACACACGATAATTTTATATTTTTAGAAGTTGAAGATGACTCTTTAAAACTTGCACTCAAATTAGCTTTTTTTTCGCACTCAAGAGCAGAGCCAAACATATATAGGTTTAGTATGGTAAGAAATGTTTCCAAGGTTTTGTAAAAAAATCAGTCAAAAATGTACCAGCTTTGTACCATCTCTAAAGATAAGGGTTTGTTATTGTTTCTTCATTTTGCTTATCTATCTGACCTTGTATCAATCTCCCCTCCGCTAACTTACCTGCATTAGCGTTCCTTTCACCAGTGTCAACTGATATGCCACCCCAATCATGATGATGACAACAGAGGAACACGTCAGTGTCCACCCGATTGCCTCAGCCCACGGTGGGAAAACATAGCTCCCGTTGACGGCCGGTTCATAGTCGATGAAACTGAAGATCATGATGCTCTGTGGAAAGAGACGTACATTACTCTGATGATCAGTCTGTAACTATATTTGTGATCAACTCCCACAAAATGAGTCTCCACATCGGGCCTTTTTTTCTCCTTTTCTTATTTTGCACTGAACTCAGCTACAATTGAGAAAGTGAGCTCAAGTTTTAGGTTTCCCAAGGACTGAATGACGTGGGGGCAGTAAACTACACAAACACACAGACAGAAAGACGACAAACAAGCTGAAGGGGAGAGGATCTGAAAGGCAAAATGGAAGATATCTAGAAGAGTGGAAAGAAGACTGAAAGCAAACAATTTGACAACAAAAAGGCCAGCGACAATCAGTCGACCAACAATCGTTTTTGCCTGGTACCCAGCATATATTTTATGCACAGGTTACCACGGAGAACTGACTTGTGGTCAACAAATGGTCGCTAGTTGTACTCAGCTTACAAGGATGATCAGTGGAGTGATGACCAACCAGGAGATCTTCCAGAATATCCCAATGGGAAAGCCGAGCATGGCTTCCAAGTCTCGCGTGAAGTTTTTCACGCCTGGAAAGGTGCAAGCAAAAATTTTCTTTCAAGTAAAGTCAGCATCCAGCTCATGCAAATATGCCTCACGTAAACAAATAGACAAGAAAAAAACTCTTAGGAAGCACTTCTTAAATTTCCTCAGAAGCAGAACAGTCTACAATTCGGTTTTCACATTACCAGACAAAGATAAACAAAAACATACCAACCCATACGTTCAGGGTAGCAATTCAAACTCAAACAAATTGCCTTCCAACAGTTCATCTTTTACGGTGTTTTTACATTTCACACTAAAATGCCTACATCGTGTATCCAATTTTTTCTACTTCTCTTTTCCCCAAGGTCATTGTTCCATCATTAGATAACATGAAAAGGCTGTCTTGTAATTTATTCCTATAGGATTTTAGTACTTTGAAGCTTTCCCTTGCTGATTACCGATTCTCTAGGCTCCAACAGATGCTTTGAAGCGGACTCAGTATTGGATAATACAGAATCTAACTTCTAAAGGATATATGCGCTTCAAAAAAGCTGCCCTAGGATGTTGAATGTTAAACAGTGTGAGGACATACCATAGACGTAGGAGATGACGATCAGTTCTACGAGGGCAAGGAGCAGAGGAGTGAAGCCAGCGGAGTACCAATTGAAGAGGGTCATGACATAGGTCCCGCCCTGGTTAAACATAACAGTATTCATGCAACTTGGCTCAAAGCAAGAACAACGGTTACCAAGTACTGTGACTGCATTTATATCGTTCAGCATGAGCTACCGGTGCATGCATCTGTGCCCTTGAAAAATCAATGTTGGTGACAAATTTTTCTTTTCAGGTTCTGGAAAATGTGGACCAGCAATGCGTGCCCCCACACTAACGAGTATGCGGTGCGTGTGCCGCAGTGTTGATGACGTGACTTGACTGAGATGAGTCGAACTTGAGTTGTAATTTTTGGACTTGAGATATGATATAGGGAAACTTGACTCGGTCAAAATACTTGTGTTTGGTCTGTGGTCTCCACAGCTGAAGGATAAAAACTTGGTGAAATGACAAGAACATGTGACTAGGGACTGGAAACTTAACTGGACACAGACTCCAGGCTAGGAAGAGCCCAAATCAGTTTCATGAGTTCGTTTTTACAAAGCAGAAGATATTATCATTGAACAGATCTTGGGCTAGCCAGAAATCACCTGAGCGCTAAGTCACAAGCACAACACAAGATTGTTGACAACCTTTTCAGGCTAAGCAAACATTCTAAGCTACTCTATGAAACTGGGCCAACAGTTGGTCATGGTGCCCTTCAAAACGTCCCCAAGAATCTTTCCAAAGTTAACGCCTACCACACAAGCAACATTAACACTGCCCTTTCAAGAATCAAGTTTCCAGGATGTGAGAATAAAATATGCACTTTCTTTGTATCAAATCTGTTTAACCGTTTGATCAATCCAACATGCTCAATTTGACTTTCCCCATTACCTGCGTGACAAACGGCAGTCCTATGACGAACATGAACATGCAAACGAAGACAATGATCCAGGACTTCCAGCGACGGACCCTACCCGGGTACGTATTCTCCAGCTCGTCGATGAAGGCAGTGATCAAGGTTTCCAAGGTTACAAACTAGAAAGGAGAAAAGGCACAATTTACATACCGAGATACATAAGTGGGCGATGACTTTCCTCTCTACCGAATGCTAATTACTGTGTAGGAATAATCAAAACCAATAAACCATACTATCTGCTCTGTATTTGCTCCAACCAGAAGCATCACTCATTGGCAATGATGAGACAGGCTGGCCGGAAAAAATGTTATTTCTTGACACAAGGTGCACATGAAGACGAAGCAAACCCTCTATTTTATCGTAGATTCACCATGCAAACCTTCAAACGCTACAACCATCAACATTGGTAACTGCCACCGGCAGCAAGTGGTTAAATTACCATTGCACTCATACTTTTTTCATTCATTTGTATAGCAACAGGTGAATTTTGTGATATAGCAATCACTTACCTGGCTGTCGATGCCAACTGTCAACAGCATGAAGAAGAACAAGAAGGACCACAGCTGGGGGGCAAAAATGCGGGACACAGCCTCGGGGTACGCCACAAAAGCCAATCCAGGACCTGCACATTGGGGAGAAAAAGGGGTCGGGGAAAAAAAAAAACCCTTCCGTGAAGAATGAAAATGCCATTGATATGGGCCCAATATCACTGTGCTGTGTAACGGCTGATGTGTGCTGACAGAGCCTCCATTGCACAGAGTCCTTTGGGCAGTGAGTTATCAAAAGCAAGCTTAACCCGGGAGAAAATTGCTTAAAAAGGTGACGTAACAACAGAAATCTCCATTTGCAACAGTCAGCTTGTTCAAGCTGTAAAGTAGTGCTTAAAGCAGCAGTATGATTTTCTGAGACTGTAACCGTAGTACTTCTGCTGTTAATTGCCATGAAATTGGACCCAGTGTCTGACTTGATCTCTATTCCAAACTGAAGAACAATTCATAACTTGGCTTGGTTTTTACCTAGGTAAAACAGAAATATCTTTAATTAAAGTAAATTGTCCTCAAGTATAAAAGTAAATACAACCAATTTCACATTTGTTTCCAACACTGGTACTGCAGTAGGGACACTCATAACTGCAGTAATCAATGTCCATTTTGTTCCCCCCCAAAAAATGTCACAGGTGGATCCATTATCTGAAAAACAATAAAAGTGAACCCCGACGAATACAATGAAACATCAGGAACAGGCTCATTGCAAATCTCAACTCACCTGCAGCCACTACATCCCTGACTTGCTGGCCAGAGTCCTGAGCCATGAATCCAATGATGGAGAAGATGACAATACCAGAGAAGATGCTGGTAAAGGCACAGGACAGGCTGATGACCAGGGTATCCCTGTTTTGTGTTGGGGGAAGGTGAGGGGGCAGGTGAGCAACATCAGAGAAAGCAAACAGTTAGTGGGGAATAACAACAACGATAGGACACAACATGAGAGGATGCAAGTTCATGGAATCCTGCTGCCAAATAGGGGGGAAGAACAGACAGAGAAAAAAAAAAGTTCAAGGCAGCTGCCGGTAGGTTATGAAGCTCTTTTCCCTATAAGCTGGAGGAGACTGCCTGGAGATTTTTCGGACTCTTCGGTCGCAGAATCCTGTGAGAACTCCAAAGCTGTCCAGAAGACTAACCAGGAACCAGTCCATTAGCTCCCAGAGGCTTCCGAGATGCTCGTGGGAGACAAACCACACCAACTTCAAAGAATTCTGACAGAATCCTCCTCCCCTCGTCAGAAAGTTAGCGGTTTTGGGGGGAGAGGAAACATTTGTGGACGTGAGAATCTGAAATGAAAATTTAAGAGAGCTCCTTGGAAGCTTCTGAGAGCTTTCTGAGTTTCCAGCGTCTTGTGGACAAGCTTGAGCGACCTGCATTCAAATAGGAACCTTGGCACACTCAAAGGGTTTCCTGGGCCATTCCAATAAGCTTCGGTTGAAAAATTCAAGGAGAGTTCCTGGAAGTTGGGTGACTGACTTGAAAGAAATTGAGGAATTATCCAAATCTTCTTGTCAGAATACAGATTCCATCACCAAGTGTAAGTTGAAGAGGCTCCTAGAAGGCTAAATACTAGATTCTTTTCCTAGCTACTTCAATGAACTCCGACAACTAAAAAAACCAAAGCGGTTTGACACCCCTCAAAAAGTGAAAGTGATTGGTAAGGTCCTCCATACAAGTGTGCAAGTTTTCTACAAGACAAAACAAACCACTGCAATGCAAGTGGTTTTTGGGGGGGGGGAGTTTGTACACAATAATGAATCGTTCCTAAAGACTCCGCTCAACCAGCTTTTTTTGGAAAGTGACCAGGAAGCCCGTTGAGTGTAGAAGCCATGCCATTTTGGGGAGGATTTTCTCTCATTGCAGGCAGAGACCACAAGTCCTGATCCAAAAGGCGGTTGCGGCAAGCCCGTGCGTTCCGTTTGGACAATGGGGGAGCTGATTTGATGAAGGGTTTACCTGACAATGGAACAATCGCTAAGGCACAATCGATGTGTCCCATTGTTTCATTGACGAATCGGCGGATGGGGCCTTGCAGGGCTTAAAGAACTCTGCCATATCAAACAAATATTAATTTCTAGTGAGAGCACTCCAAATAAGCGACTCTTTTTTCCTTCTGGTGTGTTTCACAGATGCACAGATGCAAAGCGTCAACCTTGCATCTGTCCACTGTTAGTTGTTTGATATTGTGTTTGTTCGCAGGCCTGTTCACACAGAAAGACAGCTGATGACATGTCACAAAGCAAGAGGTATCCTTACCGTAGGCTTTTCCACTGGGCCCGTTCTTTTTTTTTAAATGAAAAACCGAAACTACAAGAATTCCTTCTTTTTTTTTCATCTGCTCGGAATTCATGTTAACAAAAATATCGGCACTGTGGATATGTGCAAAAAAATCCACCACAGCAGCACTATAGGTGCGACATTAGTGACCCTCAGATTAAGATGCTGAATTCATCACCAAACATTATGTAAAAGCCAGGGTAAAATACACAATGATGAAATTTATGCCACATCACACGTGTCCCTCTAAAACTAAGAGTTTTCTTCTTTTTAAAATTCCAGTTTACATAGTGCCTAAAATGCAGATGGCATGTCAACATGAAGTGTACATGTTCTGCATGAGCGGTGCATGTTACAAAAGCATCGGTAGTTGACAGCTACATGTATCTCTGAACGACCGTTCTGCAGTGGAGGGTATGGCACTGATATCGATGGTTAAGTTCAGCGTTACACAACACTCTGTCGCATTCAATTTCATCATTTTGCTTTGTATGCGAACAAGCCTTGCATCTTTTCTTTTAACAGTCAACCAAAGCATGGTCATTCCACTGTCTTCAGACTGGTATAAACAAAAGAAAGAAAAACCACACATGCTCAAGTTGCCTCCAGTTAGAGAGTATATATTTCACAGTGAGTTCTTAAAAATTCACTGCAGAGTTATAAGTCCAGGTTCGCTGAGGATTTTGTGACAATGCCTCACTTTGGTTTCAATTTGATTTTAGGTATTTTTTGTCAGAGCAGAACTGACAATAGAAAGCTTCAGCAGACCCGTAACTCCTGCATTTTAGTATAAATAGTACCAACTTTGGCTGGTTTGGCAGGGTTAGGGTTGACTGATTATGAACAATTCGTCTAGGCTTTGTTTCTTTCTGACAAAATCCCCAAGCAACCAGTCTTTGTATTTCTTACCTGACAGCTCAGCTCCTACGGAAACCATTCAGTTTTGTAATAATGTAATCGTGTTACTGTTGTTATATTGTGAATGATACTACAAACACTATATACATGTATAAGCGTTTTTCTTCAAGGACTAAGACTTAAAATTCCCGTAACTTGAAAAAGAAAATGCAGTACATTTCAAACTTCGAAAACCAGAAACATTTCTTTGTTTCAAATTTTCTTTCAAGTCATTCTTTTAGATTTTTTGAACAAACTGAAAACAAAACAAAAGTTAATGGAATCTTTCACAGATTTTTAGACATCTTGAGTAGGCATGAAGCTTGAGTATATACCAGTGTTTAGTAGTATCATACGAGTGATGTATGTGTGTGAGCATGTAAGAAGGTAGTCACTCATCCAAAGTCGGGGGCCTGTCTTCAGAAGATATAAATTTGAAAACTTAATTAGTAAATTCTTTCAAAAGACTGGATTCAAAATGAGCAACTACAATGATTGGTTGAAACTCAAACTAAGCGATGCTGTAAGTTTTGCATTTCAGGCACTTTGTTGGGCTAGACTTTTTAGAACTCTATTAATTTATTTTCTCCCGAGATAAAAAATCAGCACAAGAGACAGTGATTACATTTCAACAACTTCACAGATTCTGCGCAGGATGTAACGTCTTTACGAATTGACCGACATAAATTTGATCTAGGGTGGCTTTTCTACTGAGCTGTGGAAGCCCGTGACAGCCCGCGCATCAGGTACGCCAAGTGCATCAAAAACTGTAAGAATAAAAACCTGCCTCATGAATGTCAAGACAGAAATGAGCAGACTGGCAACCCATTGTGAACACCACTCAGCTGTGTCAATTTTGAATGATTTACGACAAAATCGTTGTGATTTCTGAAGTCTATCACTTGACATCTCTGTACGCAATAGAATGTGCAGCTTGCCCAGCGTGCAAAGAAACTGCACAGAGTATCCCAGCAGCTCTACCGCTGTTTCATGTAGTAACTCATTTCAAATGCAGTCTGCAGTTATCTGTACCAACGGCAATCAAACACACTTAAAGTTGCAGTTTGACCTTTTCAATAGTTGGAACTCAATCACAAAAATGTTTTTGTGGATAAACTCTTTCAGATATACATGTACGTTGACATCAACTGGAGGAAATTTTTTTCTTATTGCATTCCGTTTGAAAGTTTTATCACCTGTAACTTTAAATGGACAAGAGGCATGACGCACAGCTTCAGCATGAACAATGGAAGCAGGTGTGTGATCAAACATTCCAAGGTAGTGAAAGAGACTTGTTTTCCAGTGTCTGAAAATGTCAAACCAGAGTGAAAATATGTTGACAAAACCAAAACATGTGAAAATACTTCAGAGGCCTCAGTAACCAAACAGATGGCAGCCCAATTGTTTCAATGTGCTGAAGCATTTTGACATTGATTTTTACAAAAATGATTCCTCAATATCCGTCTCCTCTTTGTCTCCAACGTAATTTTTTCCTTCCGAAACGAGGTTATGTACGTGCCAGGCCTTGAATTGAGAAAAAAATCCTACAGGTGCAATTGAAAAAAAAAACAAGCACCTTCAAGGAGCTACATGCACCAACTGAACTTACGCTTGCTCGAGAAGAAACATTCAGATGGTCTGAAAAGCTACATGCACAGCATACTTATGCACATTGACAGAAATAACATGCACCGTGCACGTAATATGAGCCCTTGCGTGTGCATGAGACATTTGGATGAGCCCCAAATGAAGACTTTTGATGAGAATTGTGGGGTTGACCGTGAAGTACTTTCATATGTTTTCCGATGAACCAGTTGCCCGGTATGCCTTTGGAAACAAATGCCAACATTTCCAGGGTGAACACAACGTTTCCTCAGGTTCTTCAGTCCGGCCATGGAACAACTCTCTTCTGTTTCGGGAAAACCTGTTGAGGTTTCCCATCATCCTCCTTAATCTATCCAGATCATGTTCACATGCCCTTAAGTTTTCCAAAGGCATACTGTGTCTTTGACAAGGCACATTGTATGATGGGTGATTCATACCAGCAGCAGTCATGAGGGTTTTTAATGATTTAGCTCAACTTTGGAATACACATTGAGTGTCTGTCAATGTACCGGTACAAATGTTTGTTTCTCTTTCGCAAATTTCCCATTTGAAAATGAACAGATTCTAACTCCCTTTCGACCAACCCCTACGATAAAAAGCGAGTGTGCTCGAAAAGTTTTAGTGTTGACTCAGTTATTCCCCACCCTGATTCCACTACTGGTGTGAAACGTCTATTCCTGGACAAGAATACACACGACCCCCCTGAGGGTCTACCTACCGCAAGGTGTTCGTGTTGAACTTGTTGTAGCTGGCTAGGGTGTGGATTCCACCCCATCCCGCCCCGTAGGAGAAGAAAACCTGGGTGGCTGCTGCCTTCCAGACCTGCGCAAGGGGGAAAAAAACAGCAATACTCCAAAGGTGAGTGGGGGTTACCACCCAAGGTCAAACTTTGACCATTTGGGGCAAATCTTACCTTTGACCCCGCAGGGCATCCATGAGGTCCCACAGAACCAAATGGCAAAGAAACGCACTGCTTCAAGAGTTTGCATGGATGGAAACCCGAGTGAGATCGTAACCAGCGAGGTGTCAGTGTGGCCCCTAGATTCGATGGATGGATGGAATGTGACTGCAGAAGTAGCGTAAATGGCCTCTTACCTCACTTTCCACATTCTTCTATCTTTTTTGCTTCTTCATTGTGAGGGAACCTCAATAATTCAGTCAGAACACAACATACGGAAACAACAACAGAGTGAAAGTCACCAGAGCAAAACAGTCCCATTGCAAGAAACAGTCTATCGGGTGATTTGGCTCAATTCGATTTCAACAACTTAGGATACGAGAATGCCAGAGACCCTGGTCAAAAACAAATTCCAGATCACAGCAATTTCAGCCCTTAACCCTGCACAATTTCTCACTTGCTCCAATGAAATCCTGAAAAAAGGGGTTTGCGCTTGCAAACACTCAGAATGGGATTGTGAAGCACAAATGCATTGCATAACTGCAGGCTTCTGGAATATTGGGGTCAGATCAGTTGGACAATCCGCAGGTTAACCTGTTCCCACCAGACTGCTTAAAAGATATAAATAGACCACTCTCATTCTGCCTCCAACTTGTATGGGCAAAGTTTGTAGAAATATCAATATATATGGTTGTTTTTGATTTTTACCTCAAATTCATTCAAACTTGACATCTTTCCCATTAATTTAAATAAGGTTGTGTTTTCATTTAGTTTTTATTAACTGGTGTTCTGATAGCTGCGTGGGACTTTCAATACTTTGTGATTTATTATTTTACATTTGTACTGACGGCCAGCCATAGTCTTATCAGCTACTTGTAGGAAAAACTTGACTGTAACGTCAAAAGAACAGACCCTGCTCACTACTGCAGAGCAGGAAAAGAGCCTTCCATGGACAGAACAGAAATCCACCTATGGGAGAAATTTGAGTTGGCCGACGGGCTCATTTTGTCAGCATTTACAAGGCAGGCTTACATTGGCAGACAGCAGCATGTCAAACTGAGGTGTCAGGAAGAAGAGAATACCCTCCTTGGCTCCCGTCAGAGTCACGCCGCGTACGAACAGCACAAACAGCACCACAAAGGGGAAAGTGGCAGTGAAGTAAACCACCTAACGAGGGAAAGCATAAGGGCTCAGATCAATACCAGTTGCTACGAACGAGACCAAAAAAAAAAAATAAAACTCCAGTAATATCACTAACGGTGCAGTCTTATCCTACAACAGGTACTTGGGCTGTCAACCAAAGTATAAAGGGCTACAGCACAACATGCCGAGCCAAATTATCTCTCAGACATGTACTCTTCAATAATTTCTTTCCATTTAATTTTTCATTAGGGGAGTACGGCTCATCCCTTGGTACAGTTGATTCCTGTTATAGCACTCCCAAAGGGGCCCAACTGAATTGAGCGTTATAACTACACAGCGCTATAACCGACTGGATGGACGCACAAAATGTGCAGCGCACAACATGCACAATGCACATGTACGTACGTGTATAGATACAAGTATATAGACATGTCATGTATGTGCATTACATGTACAAATACATGTCCCGGTAGAAGTACATGTACATGTATGTACTTGTGTGTACAGTTTGCATGCATTGATCAGAACTTGGCCTTTACAATTATTAAATTTGTTTTGCTTCCAATGTGGGACACAAGGTCTAAAATTACCGGTACCACACTTTGTAAAACAGAATACGGGTGATTCACAATAGTGCGCCACCAAGAGTCGGCAACGCTTTGGCCAGTGCGCAAAATCTGTCGACCCAATGTGTGCTCGGAAAGGGTCGACAAATTTCGTGCGTTGTGATTGCAGACTCATGGGGGCGCACTATTGTGAATGGCCTGTATTGCATGTACATGCTGTACAGATGCATGAATTTGCAAGTCAAATAAAACGGTTTGAGTAAATTAAAATAAAATGGTCGAGCATTTACACGTAGACGCTCTGTGATACATTTTACAGCCTCCTGGTACAACCGTTAATCATTTTTTTCTTGCAATTTAGGCTATGCATATTGTTTAACTTCACTTTTTCTTCATGTTTGTCTGAAATTCCTGAAGAGGATAAAATGAATGGAAAGAATTATACGGATAATAATTTCCCTTAAAATATTATAACAGCCATTAGAATGTGAAAACATGTCCTAGAAGTAAAAAGTAGAACTCATAGATACAGCCCTGTTGGACAATTGCATGGCAACATACCTTTCCTGACGATTTCACTCCCTTGATGATACAGAACAGCACCAGGACCCAGGCTGCGATAAAACACAGCAGCAACGGCCACTGGATGGCACCAATGTCCTCAAGTCCTTCTGAAACATTCAGAATGCGGTACCTACACAGACCAAATCATTCCAAAATCAAGACTGGCTAAGAAAAGGGGGGGAGTTAATAGGTGTAGATCCTGTTGGAAATTCTCTAGATATGAACATCTGTAATTAGGCAAAGTAAAGTGCTGTTTCCGGTTTCTTGACCTACCCTAATTTTTCAATGGGAGTTTATCAACAGGGTTCATTTTGTCAACCACAAATTACCAGTTGACTTACTCCCATCCTCCAGAGGTGTATGTTTCTATTCCAACATGTGCTTAAACAACCCTAATGCCGAGCATGCCAAATTTAATATGATCAACTTTCTATTGGAAAAACATCCAAACACAGGGGACAGTCAACCATTTAGACATTGCTACCAACTACATTGCTGTGCAGAACCTCTTCACTGCTTGTGAGTAGTCTTCAGAGGATGTTTTCATATTTCTTATGTTTTTTTATTTCTTATGGATGTAGCTGGTGCACTGTCTTTTTCAATTCACAGGTGACGTACTTGTACATGGACATACATGTACATGTACGTGTACATTATGTACTTGTGCACATAGGCTAACACCCCCGTGGTTAGAGACACATCACCATACAACTGAACTTTGAGTCACAAAGAAGATCACAGCAAACTGATAATATTTACCGAGGGATATCAAGATCTCAAAAGGCCCTTTATCACTGGTTCAAGTATTTGGAATGCGGTCAACAGCGCTGTTTAGAAGTTACTAGAAGCCTCTCAAGAGAAAAAGTGCCAAGATTTTGTGGAAACACATGTAGCTCTGCCAGCTCAAGGTGAAAATCCTAATGTTTGTTTTTGTAACCGTGGCCTAGCTTAACAATGACTTTCGAGCTGCCAGAGCCAATTTTGAATTAAAGACTTTTGAAAGACTCTGTTTTTACCTACATACAGGTGATATTCATTTTTTAGGATGTCAGACTGAGTGACCTGTCAAAACAAAAAACTCAGATTCCTCTTAATGAATACTCTGAGAAATGTGCTTCCAAAATGGCCTTTTTATCTCCCATTGGAATTCAAAATACTTGTCATAAATAGAAAAAACTCTGGCCCTTTTTGATTGACTAATGGTCGTATTTTCAAATGCAAAGGTAAAGTGCAAGGTTAGGTTTCCTTGAGGCTAAAACCAGGTTAACACCGAGCTGTCCAAATGACGTAAGCACACAGGTGCTTCTGATGCAGCTACAGTATTTTCATTGAAGTGGGTAAAAAACAAATCTTAATCTGTACACCTGTGATTGTAAATTTTCTTTTCAAGAATTCTGGGAGCAGTTGAAAGTGCAACCTGTAAATGTTTTTGCTTCAATTAAGGAAAGGATGAGTACCTTTTATTCCAATTTTTTTAAGACACTGCAACAAATATTCCAGAGTTTCAGTGGTAATTCATGAACAAACACTTATTTGTGACTGTTGTGGTGGCAGTTTTCTCCACAAATGCCGAACGAAACTTCAAGTGAAACAGATGTACTGTACTGATACAGGCACTTTGAGTTATGGAGGATTTAAGTATTTAACCACTTGCTGCCGGGTGGATTTTTCTTGAATAAGACAAGATGCTGGGTCCTTTTCCAAATTTTCCGTTTACAAAATTCTTCAAAAATTCATTATTTCATTTAATGGCTGTTTATACCCACATGAAGGACTCTTTGGGTTCTACTCTAAAGCTGACAGGTAAAATTCATTGACTCCAGAATATTTCAGCCAGGCTTGCAGCCTTGGAAAAAGAGCCCAGATTGTGCTGTGTTACGTAAGATTCTTTTGTTCCCCAAACCAGCACAGTGCACTGCTGACCTCTTTTCAATAGGGGCTAGATTAGGGTGCGGCGGTGCTATGTGGCTCATCGCTGCGGTGGTAGAGAGCTTTAATCCCTGGTGATAATCCGCTCGTTCTAAATGCCTCAACCATGGTAAAATGTTTCAAAACAGGCTAGATTATCTCCACTATTGAGAGCGAAAAAATGTTGGTAATGCCCAGCAGCTCAGTCTTTTGTGCTGAGCAGTCTTTTGTTATAAGGCCCAACTCTTTTGTCCCAGTTCCCCGCTCCCCAGCTCTGCATATAAAGCCTATGTACTCGAAAACGGGTCGCCGGGCAAGAAGTGGTTAACATCCCATTCTCTTGAATGAAACAATGCCAACTTTAAGGTACACGAACTTTCAAGTCATCCGATTTTAAGATAATGAGAGTTTACTCTATGCACACACAGGCACTGACTTGACAAACGATTGCACCAACTTCATAAAAACGCAATTTACATTGTTTAGATTGTGGCTCAACAGTTCAACATGTATCTGCACATGTCAATGTCCAAGCCTACCTAAAAAGAGCTTGCCAATAAATCAAAATTCAAGTCCAAAGACTGTGGTTCGAGTTAATAAGTAACCTAAAAGCTGAACTGTAAACAGGTAGTCAAACATAAATTTCATTAGTTGCTCCAAGAACTGTACATGTTTACACCTGTGCTGCCGACATGAATTTTAAGAAATTTCAATTTCAAATTGCTTCCAGTAATAATAATAATAATTGACATTTATAAAGCGCCCAATACATCAAGCTGCTCCCAGGCGCTGTACATCAAAATATAAATAAATAAATATAACCTACATGTACCATAATTAAAATCAACACTAAGAAACTAACAATGCTTGTTTAAAAAGATGCGTCTTCAGCCCGGTCTTAAAACTCTCCGCACTCCTAGACTCCCGAAGACAAACGTCCAGCTGGTTCCGGAGACGAGCAAAAAAGAACCTAGCCGTTTTTAGGCTGGGAAAAGTCAGGTCTGTGGTTCAAAACCTGGTTTTGGATTGTTTGTAATCACAGATGAATAAACATGTATGATGACAGGAACTGGTTTTGGGAATAACATTTTGGCAACAGAGCACATTTGTGTAAATTTTTGTACAAGGGGACAAACAAACAATGAAAGGATTCATTTACTTCCAAAATTCCTCGCTTGCTCGAACTCTGCGTATCTCTGTTCCTGCTGTCCCGTTGGTTGTTTCATTCATGAACATGTCATAATCCTCCAGGGTAGCATTAAATGTCTCACTCTCGTTCCCAGGGCTGTAAGCCACCAAATGGCCTGATGGCAGACTTCCGTTCCCTTTTGAGGGATGGGGCAGGAAAGGAGAAAAATGAAATTGTTTCTGAAGCCCTTCGAGTCTCACTTTCTGTTTTGAGAAAAAAACTACTCTCAACCTGATCCATGAAAAGGAAATGAAGAAAAATAATAAGTAACAAATAAAACTATACAACGTGAGTGCACTGTTACGCCTCTCTTCATTAAATGTATGAAAAAAAAGTTCTTCACCGTTAGTAGATCCAAATTAAGCGATACCAAAGAGCCTTGAATTCTGCGAAAGGTGATATTGCTTCCTTGAAAGGGAATGTTAATCAGCACATGTGAGTTGACATGTACATGTCTATGCTAGTGGAGATTTCTCAGGGGCATCTCCAGGCACAGGTTGATCACATACCGGTATATACATGTATGAGGAAATAAAAAGACATGACCTACTACACTGCAATTCAACACTGACTGCAAATTAGACCACCCCCCCACTGAATTTCCAGGAACACCGCCCATGAAAGTAGTAGCTTTTTCTTCTGTTTATATACAGCATGACAATTTCATGGTGTGGGAGGTATGCATGCATGCATGAAAGCGTGTATCAAAACTAGAAAGCATCCACTTGACAACTTTTAATTATTGATTGTAGGAAGGCCTGTTGGCAAGCTTAGTCCAGCCAGTGTATGAAGGGTATTTTTCACATTTTTGTTTCATTCACAGTCAGTCTTATTAATAGAATACAAAAAAAGGGCATTTTTGGAAGCCTTGGGCCTCCCCCCCAAAGTCTCTGGTTTCTGGTCAGCCCACAGGTCGCTGTAGACCTGTGTGTCAGCAAACTCTAAAGTTTTTTTTGGGGGGGGTATAAAACAATGTCCAAAAGCTGCCAAACTTGCTTGATCCACCAGAATCCTGCTACTGAATAACATGTTTTAGATGGGGTGCGGTTGAGTAATAAGTACAGTACAGTAGTCCCTCTAGGCCTTCCACACATTAAGTCGGGGACTCTTTTTCAGATGACATCATTTCTGAATTATACATTAACATGTGGGAACCAGACAAACGAGGTGGTCTTGTGTCCTGTGTACATATACAATTTGAAAATGCTTTTAAACAGTAAATAGTGTGGGGCCCAGTTAATTATAGTGTTTGTAGTGGCTGGTGATAAGTGCGCATGCAGTCACAATGGACATCGCACGTTATACGTACACAGAGCTGCCAACGTCACTTGAGCAAAATCCTATGATTTTACCTTAAAAATTCTATTCCCCCCAATCCTATTCTTCACTGTTGTGTAACTTGAAGCTTGATTTATAGGTGAACAATCGACCGAGTGCAATGCATAGTTTGGGCCCCAGACTGATTTCACTTTAATACATCCATAGTTTAAGTACAGTACACAGATGAACTGCACAAAGAAAGCAGCAACGGACACTAGAGGGCCTCGTAGATGGATTCTGTGTTGTGCATGTTGCATGCGTTTCCATGGCATTTCCAACAACGCGGACAACTGATGTTACCGCGCGAAATTAACTTGTGAAAAAGGTCAATTCTCAAGCCAAACAATACGTAAAAATCTAACATACCTATGAAGTTTTTTTTTTGTAAATGATATTTTATTGAGAAAATTGCACGAAATACGAAGAAATCGTACTGGCCGGCAGCTCTGCGTACATCATTAAAAAAAAAACAGGAAAAAAAGTACCACTTTTGGAACCAGCTCCGGACCAGAAACCGGAGACTTAATTTTTTTTTTGGCTTAAGGTTCAAATATATTGGCCAAGCATGATTAAATGGAACCGTAGAGTATTAACGACAGGAAGATGAGGAAGCATTCATCAAAGTATGAATAGCAGACGCCAACATAAAAGGATCTGACAGGCTTTGACTGAGACAGGAAACATTCTGACAGTTTAAATAAGGCGTACAACTGGCAGTTTGGCAGCCAGGGCCACACGCATGGTACATGTACAACTCTGTAGTCTCATATGTACCGTGTACAAAACATTCATCAGACTACAATGACCCTGACATCAGACTGCATGCACTCCCTGAGGATTTCCATTCCTGATATCTCTTGCACAAACGTACAGCACAGATTCTTGCTGGCACATGCTCGTACCAGCCCGTACCGTGCTGTATCAACCCCACGCTCAAGTTATTCTCCACAGATTTCAGGTACCAACAAATCTGACTTTCGCCGTCCTGATTGAATAGTAGTGTTTAGGTAACTCAATCAATGCTTGACATCGGCAACATTTTTTTTCCTATGAATGCTGATGTCGTGTTCATCAAATCAAGGACCCAAATTTTTAGCAAGAAATGCTGTTTAAATCCGTTCATTCCGCAGATGAGATGGTGAAGACCAGGGAAGATGCCCTGAAGGTGTATTTGAAATTTGAAGCTTTTTGTTTTGTGACAAATGAGAGAACACAGGATTTGGGAGAGTTTTTTTTACTTTCATTCCTTCAAAAGTACATGACAATGCTAAACATTTAGTTTCACAATTCAGAAACACCACAAAGGTTTCAGTTCCATAAAGAAATTTCAAAATCCGTTCGGCACCCAACCAATTTGCTCCCCTCCAAATTTTGTACTGGGCCCACCCTTGAACAGGTGCTGAACCAGTGAGTAACATCATGCAAGACAACAAATAATTTGAACCCTCTGAACCTCTGGGTGGAGTACCTTGGCTGAGTGAAAGTCTCTCGTAGCAGTTGGGCGTGTTCCAGGTGTGGTTGCACCCCACCCATGGCAGGGGGTTCTGGAAGGACACCACCATGTAGCGAATGGTGTAGGCGATGATCAGGTTGTAGTACAGGCAGAAGTAGCCGGACACCACTGCCATGGCAACACCCACACCTACAAACAACCAATGGGGCAAATGAAAAGTCACAGGTTTCATGTGATTCAACTCTCCCCTCCTCCCCGGAAAACAACTTAAAATGGACACTGGAAACCACATTAAAAAATTCATTCACATTTCATGCATTATCCTCCCCAAAAGAGGAAGAAAATACACACATTCGCCTACATCTATAATGTACATGTACCCGTGCTCAGTTGGTTGTAAAGCCGAACAAAATAAGAGTTGTGCTTCCGGTTACCAGCCCCAACTGAGCAACTCACGCTGACTCTTTTTAGTGAAATCTTTTATTGAAAAGGAAATAAAAATAACAAATACTGCTGCTGACCCTCATGCTTATTTCGGGGGTGTGAAATCTCCGCTTTTTTGTTGAGTATGCCAATTTCATTTTCCACTTTTTTTGCCATCGACAGGCCAGACTTTCCTCGTTATTTTCCTTTGCATAAGCACCGATTTTTCCAGCTTTTTTTTCTTTTTCTACTGACGCGACCTGATGGCCAGGCCAAACTTTGCACGTCCTCGTTCAGACTGCAACTCCGTAATAATACATGTGACTGAACAACTGTACATATACACATACAGTATATGCACACAGTGATACGTATTTGTGCGGCTCTGAGCGCAAGCCTTGTGTGTAAACAGTATCCAGGGACCATCCAGTCATTGTGTTATGATTGGCTGCCAATGAAACATCAATATTCATACGTGTCAGTGGGACTCATTACAGCCATTCCTGCTTGAGCAGAAGTAGTGATTAATTATCTCCACTATAACTTGAGATAGCACACATTTCACTGTGAATTCATGGCCTGAAATAAGGTTAGTACATTTTCACTTTCACCGGTAAAGGGTTTCGTGACAACTGGAGTGGGGCGTGCAGAGTTATTGCGTCATGCATCATCGTGCGGTTTTTACAAACTCCATGTTAAGCACCGTCAATATATCAATATGGGTTTGATATGGGTTTTACATCGATATTTTCGGTAAGCCGTGACTTATGTTGGTTCTTACACTGAACGAAAATGTCCCTGTAGCTTATACTCCAGGTGGCTTATACGGCGACATTTGAAGAATAAATTCAGTCACCTATCGCAGTCTCGTACTCAATAATTTGTGTACACTTTGCCTCGAAGATATCACAAAATGTATCCTCCACAAGAGAGAATTATTTGCTAACCAATTGTACATGGACTAGCACCACGGGCTAATGGTATCGCTATGCAGTGGCAACGGCAGTGTGTATCCCATCCCATAAAGGCAACATACACAATACGGATGCTAGAACATCTCGCCAAAGTGAATTGGATCACAGCATTACGGTGTAGGGGTGTACCATTGGAACAATTTACCAGCAATTCACACCTGTTATATAATACCTTGAAAATTAAAATGAATAAAATTCGATATACAGTATATCGATAATATTGATATAAAAAACGGTATCAGCCAAAATATGATATCGACGGTGCCTACTCCATGTGTATCACTTCATACGAGCTTTCAAACAATTTTTGGACATTAACTCATTGAAGTGTCATTGCAACACAAATGTATAATTGTCCGAAGAGAGTCTGACTTGGATACAATCTTTGAAAAGACCTATCCTCAAGTTAGGAATCCATGAAAAAAAACAGTGGATGGAATACGCACGTAGACCATCAGAATCACTTCCTAATTAAAAAAAAAATTCCCAACCCTAAAATGTTTGACCTAAAAGCTTTAGAACAAAAAAAAAAAAAAATATCCACCTACCCAACCTATTTTTTGTCAATGTAATAGGAAGCACAACTATTATTTTGTTTGGCCTAATGCATTTGCTTTTATGTACATATTTATGATTATCTGAAGTTCATTTATCACATGTGCTTGTACATTTGCTTATAAGGCGAAACCCATAAAAAGAACAGTGGGCCTGCCTTCGTCTGGGGCCTTCGTCATGCTTTTGATCCTTGCTACGGCGTGCAACCGCGACTGTGGAAAGTCATTAACATAATCACTTGTCCTATAGTGATTCAGAAAAATTAATGTCTTGAAAACATTAACCAACACGACAGACGGATACAAAATAATTGCTTGATCACCTGCCACACACGCAATGGAAATATCCGAGTACTCATCAAGCCTTGACCCTATTGTACAATTACCAAAGGGTACTGCACTTGTTTCCTGAACTACATGTACATGTAATCATTTAACGCGTAAATGTAGGGCTGAGTCGGTTCAAATAATTAATTAGTATTTCCACTATTCAACCTTCTATCCAAGTGAATATTTGACTAATCTGAATTCTCACGCAAGTAGAAACAAAACAAACCAGTACATGTGCTTACCAAAGAAGTTTAAACAGAAAAAAATTGAAGGATAAGTACATTTTTACATTATTGCTGGACATACCATCACTCGAGTCGCATTTCAATAATTTTTTCAGTAATTCTGATGTAAAAACAAAGTCTGTAATTAAAACTTGACTTTCATTAACTTTAAATTGCTTAAATACTCGCTCTATAGGGATTTACAGGTTCCAGTATGAGGCAAGTTTCCAGGAAATATACACAACATTCTCCTTTTGTACGTACTGTACAATGCATACGATACATACATGGGTTATCCTATAAATAAAGAGTCCAATTGGAAAATCTCAGGTTTCAGACTTTTGAAGTGATTTTTGGGAAAAGATAGCTATTATTTTGTAGTGTGATTATGTCTCACAATCAGTTACTATAAATGGAAACATGCCTTCAACATTACTTTTCATGTTTTTTTTTCCCAAGCCTAAAAAAGAAGTTGTAAACCTTTGATTTTGTGATAAAAAGGGGAACAAATTTTATTAACCCGTGTGTGCATTATTTCCAAATGTCTGGTGTTCTAAATATCATAGTTTTCTGATTAGAAAGACTGAGAAAGATATCTTCTCAATAAATAAATATGCTGAAACAAGTTGGTACTATCACTTTCCTTTCACCCCATAGCCTATCTACGGTATCACACCGTAACATTCCGTGTCCCAGGTTGTTACATGAGGAAAAATGATACCGTTTGGGCAATTAACAGCAGAATAAAACAATGTCTGTGAAGTTCGTGAAGCTAGGCGATCCCCATGTTTTGAGAATTCACAAAAAGAGCACCATTGACCAAGAAATGGAAATTTTCCAATTCCTCAATCATAATCAGTCATCGATATTTATGGTTTCGGGTCTTTCGGAATTGTTACGGTGTGAAAACTTCAGATGTTGTAGCGACATGATGCAATGGGAAAATTGGCATGAAACACTCCCTGGACACGTGTCGGCCAACTGGCGATCCATGCCAACTGTTTACAGCCACCATGTTTGAATCTTAGCCCGAGCAAGGGAGGATCATTTTGGGAACGTCACTTGTTATGGTGTTATTTATGTTACGGTGTATCATTTCTGTACCTATTGCAGTAAAAGTTCTGTAATCCTTGTTCTCTTGCTGTGTATAAATGAAATAAACCACTTATGTCTGAAAAAAAAATGACAAACTTCTGCACGTTCAGTCGTCGTAACTTTAGATTTCAACTGCTGAGAATGTACACGTGATGGGAACATTCTTGTGTCACGATTACGGTGTGACAAACTTCCGTAAACTGCAAGTGGTCGTCTCAAATAATTTCTCGTTGAAAGTGATTTTATCTGGTAAATTGTGCTTCTTTGTGATTGTAGAGCAGCAAATCGGTGCAAAGGACTGAATGACTTCTTAAATTATCGTATTATTCCGTCGAATCCAACCAACATCCATCCTACACACCATAACGGTGACACTAACCTAGCTCGTGTTGCCGTGCTGTGTGATCAGTCGAAGTGATCCCTTGATCTGCTTGGTTCATTATCGACAAAAGCAACCCTAAAGTAATGTCACTCTAAGAGAATTCACTAGTGACATCGGATTGATAATATTGATTGCTTATTACACAGTTGAAACCTCTGTATTTTGATCTTTTCTGTCGAACATTTATAACGCGTCACTTGTGACACAAAATACTGATGAGGACAGTCCATTTATCGATAGGGGTGGGCAATTATTCTCGTCCATTCGTGGGTTGGTATGTGTGTGGATTGGAAATTAATTTAACTTCTTTTCACAAAGATGTTATGATTTGAGCCACGTCTTATTACATTAGGAATTTGTGAAACAAGGTTTTTGTGCGAGTGGAAATTTTCAGCATTAGTGGCTTCTAGTACCTCCCTATTTCATAATGGAACTTGCTGCCCTGTGCATGTACCTGTTCCTTGCTGCAGCATTACAGTTGCTGTACCTACGTGAACGAGGTGCAGCCCCAAACGTGGCTCACTTCAATTTTTGGTGGCAATTTTTTTTCCTAAATTTATCATAAGTGAAATTTTATCAAAAATCCCAATATTCTGATTCAAAATTCTCAATTTTACTGATCCTCTTCATAGTTCTGATAAAATCCTATTTTGGTGCAAATTGAGCTCTTTTAGAATGCTCCCAATATACGAAAATGATTATCAAACAAAAGTGTGGTTAGGTACCTGTATGTAGAATAATTTATTAGAATTTGTCAACTTTTAAGAATTTCTTTGATGTTTATGTGGGTTTGTTTACTAGTGAGCAATGTTAGAGAACACTCAGCTGAATCTTGCCCGATTTCTGGATGCCACTGTTTTTTAATTTCGGACAAAATTTCATGACACAAGAATTGTTCACAAAGGTCCAGCGGCATGTTTTTATGAAGGTTACAGTTCCTGCATTTAACCAAATGAATTTGAAGTTTGTTGAACGAGAGGTTTTGGCAATACTGTAGGCCTATGAGGAAATTCAAGCAAAAGTCGAAGTGTGCCACGTAGTCCTGTTTTGGTATAAGTATTTATTTCAAACCTAGACTAGCACACTATTTTTTGAGTAGTTTGTGATAAATGCAGGAACTATAAAGGGAACAAACATTTTTCATTATGTATAGAAAGCCTTTGAAGCTTGTGGAACATACTGAAATTTGCAAACACTTGTTGAAACA